CTCCGATCCGCCAGCGCGGACTGGCGGAACGGACGGGGGAGGGGGCGGGTACAGCTGGCTCTGCCTCTAGATAGGCAGAGCCAACTGTCACTCATGCAGCTGGGCGGATCTCGACATCGATGTCTGGATCCGCTTCGGCTGCGGCGTCTCAGTATACCGCGAGCTGTAGCTCGCGGTATACTGAGCTTTGGGTCATGGGAGAATGCTAGTTTGTGTCCTAGCGTTACCCTAAGGAGAACTATGGGGAAAAGCCCTGACCCCATAGTTCTCCTTTAAGTAACGCCGGGGTCTTCCCCTACGTTTGCGGAAGCCGGCGGTTCCTGTAGGCACTGCTAGTCTTGGAGCGGAGGGTGCATTTTGTGCAGAATGCACCCTCCTTGCTGTTGCAGGTGTTGTATCTTGACACAACACCGGAAATCAGGCAGAGTAGGTGCCTGCATGGAGGGTACCTGTGCCCAATCTGCCTAATGGTAAATCCGGCCCTTGGTCTCACTCTCCCTTATTAAATGTCAGCTTCACCCAGAAATAGTTTTCTAGATGCTTGAACAGCAGAACTTTAAATCACCCCTTGGCTTCTTACCTGGGACGTTCTGGCCAGAAAGGGGTTGGTAGGCACACCTGCTCCCCCCCTCCCCATGTGATCCAATGAGACTAAATGAGATGCTGCCTGAGCCAACCACCTCAGGCTGCCTCATGAAAGAGATGGCCCTGGTTCTTGTAGTATATTCTATTCCCACTTTCTCGCAAAGGCCCATTTCTGTACCAACATGACTGTGCCCCTGAGCGCAAAGCTAACTCCATAAAGACCTTGACCAGTTTGGTGTGAGGAACTTGAGTGTCCTGCACAGAGCCCTGACCTCAATCCGATAGAACACCTTTGGCATGAATTGAAATTCTGATTGTGAGCCAGGTCTTCTCATCCAACATCAGTACCAGACCTCACCAACGGGCACACATTCCCTCCAAAATCTTGTGGGAAGCCTTCCCAGAATAGTGGCTGATACTGAGCCATACAGAGGTACAGAACTAAGGAGCAGTGGTGGGCGTGGGGGGAGGCCCATGGTTCGAGAATTGGAAGTTTATACAGGTGTGATGGTCAGGTGATCAGAAACAATTGACCATTTGGCATATAAGGAAGGAACACGTGATTAAACTCAGTAGCAGCCATGAAAATCTAAAATACCGCTTGTGAGCCGAGTTGGCTTTTAATATTACATTGCAGCAAAGGTGGCCCAGATTTATAATTCCTGCCCTTCTAGGCCAACTGTCTTGTGCTGCCACTGTGTAAACTCCCAATGGGAGTAGTCCAAGCTTGGCTAGGAATGAGAACTCTTCTTCAGGTTCTTTAGGACAGCACATGGGTCAGGGGAGTGGCAACACAGGGACTCAGAACTACAGTGTGAGATAAGGGGAGTCACATACGCCTCCTATACTTGGAGGTTTTGGCTATTTCACTTGGCTCCAGTGGGGAGAGCAGAGGGGGAGGTAAGTATCAGTTGGGTGGGGTGAGGTGGACATCAAGTCAACCTGTTACTTTTGTTGTTGTTGACATTTTCATTTCTCCTTTCCATTCAGGGAGACATCCAGAGGACCAATATTCAGGTTGACTTTGGAGATGGGATTGCCGCTTCCTATGCCAACCTCAGCGCAACAGAAGATGGCATCAAACACGTCTATCAAAATGTGGGGATCTTCAGAGTCCTGGTGCAAGTGGACAACAACCTTGGCTTGGACAGTAGCATTCTTTATCTTCATGTGACAGGTAACACTTGTATTACTCAACATCAATGTTTGGCCTCCTAGACAGGCGTGGCATTGAAGAGTCACGAGTCAGGCATCGAAAAAGGGACTTCACATAAAAAAAAGTTAGTTTGAAATACCTCAAACCATTCAACTAGTAGTCTAAAGAATATTTATCTGACCTATAAGCACCAAGCATGGAAAATACAAACTACTGTCTGCCGAGGGCCATGCAGTAAATGGCAAAGGGACGCATGTGGCCCCCATATCCAAAGGTTGGTCAACAGGGGCTTAGACAGCTCAGGTCTTTGTGTACAATTGTAGCTCCATGATAAAGTAATATCCTGCAAAAGTGCCCAAAGGCCCATTGACACCAACGCATTGCTGTAAGGGGGAGCTAAATTTCAACATACACCTACCGCGGTGTATTGTGGTGCCATTCATTTTGACAGACAGGTTCTCTTGTTAGGGTACCCCCACCCCTGATACTCACATGACATGACAGGTTTCCTTCAAAACACTCCAGTTTGTGAAGATGTTGATCTTATTTTTTGCTACAAAGTTGACCTAGTTCTAGATTAAACTGTGACATTTTTGCCCCCCCCATGGCCGACGGCCTACTCGTCACCACTACTTTGCATCTCAGTCTCTGCTGCAAACTTTGTATCTTCTGCAACATTCCGCCTAAACAGTATTTAAGGAGCCGAAGTCATTCGGAGCGTGGCAGTGCCACCTACTGTTCCCGATGAATAATTCATCGTACCCAGCCGACGAGAACTTTGCGCAATAGTCGTTGTGCGCCCGACGGTATCAGTCTCGGCACCGCAGGCTCCCCTTTCCGCTAGACTATTAATATCCGTAATACCGGAGTCATCAATTAATACATGCAGCCGCCCGAGTCTACGTTTAACTAATGCTATAATTTGCTGCCGCCAGCTGAGCCGGGGATTTTAATTAATCGGCGCGTTGGAAGTCTGTAAATTTACTGACATTAAACAGGAGCTCGTTTTAGCGGGCAGCGATGTCCTTAGTGCGGCCGCCCGGAAATCAGAAGCCCTCTTATATTGTTTGCAATGTTTCAGACGTTAGGAATTCAATGTTGTTAGATGTTACAGCGCTTCCAAATCCTCCCGCCACATTCTGCAAAGAGCAGTAACAATGTGACGGAGCCTTACTACATCCAAAACAAAAGGGGGCTATTCACAAAGCCGCCAATGGCAGCCGAGTGAATAATACAGCCGAAGTGAAGTGAGACGAATGCTGTTCGCAGTAGCGTCACAAGGGGGGTTGCGGCCCGCACCCGGGTGTCACCATTGCAGGGGTGACACCAAAATAACTGACAGTCATTTTGGTGTCACCCCCCTCTAAAAAGTCGGGCACTCGGTCATGGACCGAGAGCCTGACAGTGTCAGGAGAGAGGAGGGGACCCGGCAGCATACCTTATCCCGCTGGGTGAACGTTCCCTCCTCTCTCTGCCGGCGACCATCACCAAGATGGCCGCCGGCAGGCGTCAATCAGATGGTCACACATGTGCGATGACATCATCTCGCATGTGCGAGGTAACGTCACGCGCATGCGCGATGACCACTCGGCAGGGTGTCACCCGGTCTAGAGACTGGGTGAAACCCGGCCTCAGGACGCCCCTGGCTGTTTGGCTATTCACTTCAGTCCTGTACGGCTGATTTCAGCCGTGCATCGGCTAAAATCAGCCGTACATCAGCTGCCTTCGGTCAGCCGAACATGTTCTGGATGTTCGCCTGAAGCGTAGTGCAGAAGGACTTCGACTCAGCCGATCCAACATCTGGATTGGCTGAGCCGAAACTCCGGCAGTTCACTCGCTGCCGTTCACCCCTATTCTCATAGGAGCCGAATGGCAGTAAGTGAATAGCCGAATGCCGAGTGGCGTTCGGCTTGGCTATTTTGCTCGGTACCTCCGTGGTGGCGAGCAGAATAGAAAAAAATTAAATAAATTAGAAAAAAAAATTGCGAAAATTAAAAAAAGTTAAGAAAATAATAGAAATATTTTAAAGAAAAGAAGAATTTTTTTTTTATGGTGATTAAATACCACCAAAAGAAAGCTCTATCTGTCCCCCAAAAATGGTATAAAATTCATTTCAGTACAGCGTTGCATGACGGAATAAATGTCAGTCAAAGTACTGCAGCGCTGAACACTGAAAAATGGCCTGGCCAGGTAGGGGATCTAAACACCTGGTCTTCAAGTGGTTTAATGATGCACGCCGACCCAACGAACTCCAGCCGAATAATGTGAAATCTGACAGATGCCGGCAAAATATAAACACTTGGGAGGAGCTAGCATTGACATCACCTCAAGCCCCGCCCAACTGTTTCCTATTAGCCGGCACCTGCCAGTCTTCTAGCAGGTCCCGGGCCATAAATAACATGTGACATCATGGCTGGCCCCGCCCAGCTGTCATTTGCATGGAGTTCGGTTGGCTTCAGCCGACCTTTCTCCACGCTTCGCCTTTCACTACGGCTCAGCCGAGCCGAAGCATATGGGATCGGCTTGGCTGAGCCGCCTTTGGCTGCTGTACGGGCTATTGTGAATATCCCGTAGAGCAGCCCTTCGGTTTGACTGAACAGAAGGGCTCCGGCGGCCGAAGGATCACCCGAAGCTGCGGCTGGATCCTTCGGCTCATTAGTGAATAACCCCCTAAGTTTCCTGCAGAATCAGCTGAGAACTGGTCCTGATACCCTGTTTGAGGGTGTCTGCTCTCCCTTGCAGGGTCCTACGAAATCACCCTTGTGTTTGCTAGTAAGCTGTGTGTGTCTCCACAAACACACAGACACATCAAGGCAAGACACTCCCTCCCTCCTCCCTTCTCCATGCTAGTAGATGGACGCCTGCTGGAGACTGCTCTGCCCCTCGTGATCTTGTACTGGACAGGAACTTCAGAGAAGCGGAGCTGAGAGAGTTGGAGCTGCTCTGAAACATGATGACTGTAATTGCTTGAGCAAAGATTTAAATAAATATTTTGCTGGGTGGTGTATATTTGTGTGATCTGCATTTATTATAGAAAAAAAAAAGTTAGAGAGTTTAATACTACTTTAAAGTAACAAAGTAACACCTGCAGTGATTTCAATGGAGACAAACTCGTCTTCCTTTTGCCAATAATGCCCTTTTCCCACGTAATCTATACATAAAAATCCACTTTAAAGTAGTATTACAATAACAAGCTTTTTTTCAATAATGAATCCAGATCAAACAAATATACATCGCCCAGCAAAGTATTTCTTTACATTTTCGACCAGACACTTACAGTCATTATGTTTCTAGAACAGCTCCAACTCTCTGAGCTCGGCTTCCCCGAACTTCCTAGCAAGTACAAGGTCCAAGGAACAGAGCAGTCTCCAGCAGCCGTCTATCTATTAACTTGTAGTATGGAGGAGGAGTGGGGAGCAGGGGAGTGCATTGCCTTGCCGTGTCTGTTTGGTTGTGGTGTTATTATCCTTAGTGGTGAGACAAGTTGTTTTACATGCTGGTTTGTGAGTGTGCCATGATACCTTTCTACTGTTTGGTTGTGGAGACACATATGTAGCTGACTAGCACACACTAGGGCGGCTGCATAGGACCCTGCAAGGCAGAGGAACCAACCTAAAACAGGATATCAGGGTCAGTGCTCGGGGGAACAGCCGATTCTGCAAACTTTTAAACATCAAGGAGCAGCATCCATTGTAAGTGATCTATTCAGCATTTGAAATTAGCTTACAATCCTTTTGTCTTTAATATCATTTTCATGACGCTAGCAGACTATCTGCACGTGTCACTATACATAAGAGCATACATACTGACAGCCGCTCCTGCTGTGTAATGCAAAGCAATGCCCGGCTGTCATTTTGACAGACAGTTATTGATGGTTATAGTGGCTGGGGGAGTAGTGACAGGGAGAGAGAAGCATCCTAGAAACCTTTTAGGAGGTATCTCTTATGTTCACAATCCTTCATGGGTTCATTTCCCTCTCAATGCTGGCATATTACTAATAAGAAAAGTTTTAGTTCTGATACCTTGATATACAATGCCTTCAGTTTCCAAGAGATAGAATGGAGCCTGCAGTGGGTGTGTTTGAGAATTCCTTTCCTCTCTTCCAATCAGGGGGTTCCCAGGTCACCAGATTACCAACAATAGAGAATGGGGTGTATTGGGTGCTACTGCAATTCCTGAATAGGGAAAAGAAGGCCTGGACGTGTAGTGTGTGCTGTGTGTGTGCTCTGTGCAGGGGCGGACCTACCGCTGGTGCAGCCAGTGCGGCTACACCGGGGCCTGAGCCAGGGGGGCAGTATCCGATCCAACACAGTCCCGGCGCTGAGATGGGGGGGCCGCCAGCTGCCAGATACCGATCCGACACTCTCGGCGCAGAGATGATGGGGCCCGCCGGCCGCTGGATATTGTGGAGGGAGCCGGGGAACAAAAAAGCCTGCAAGCACATCATGGGGCAGTACTGGGGCTTCGGCGTTGAGGACCCAGCAAACAGCCGCCTTAGCACACTGGCGCGCTGTCTCCCATACACACTGGGGTTTTTTTCTGCAGCCTCCCCCACCAGGAAACAATTGAAGACTGGCCAGAAGAGGTGAAGGTAAATAATTCACTAAATATTATTATTTGTAGCCCAGCTGATGGGCATGTTGTGTAAAGTACAAGACTATAAATCTCAGCAGTACATTATACAGCAATGCTATTGTTGTATAAAGTATTGCTGGGATGTGTAGTCCTCTATAGCTGCACCCATGGTCAAAACTAAGGGGGGGCAGGGGAGGCATGTGCCCCAGGCGCTGCATTATGGTTGAGTGCCGCCAGCAGGGTAACTTACACACAAGCCTGGGCCAGGACCGGATCAAACTGCGCACATCGCCACCCACCCACCGGTAGGTCCGCAATCATTGGAGGAGGCATTTTTCTAAAGATTCGGTTGCTGTGAGGTCCTGCACTTCCTGGGGACCCCACAGTAGCCTTATAATAGGGAACCACAGCACAGCAGTGCCCGTATACAGCGCCAACGCGCACATGAGACTTGGTAAGACCCTTCTGCCCCTGCTGCAATCTTTTATCTGCCCCCTGAGATGATCTGCCATCTGCCCCCTGACATCCTCCATCTACCCCCTGACATCCTCCATCTACCCCTGCTGAGATCCTCCATCTAGCCCTGCTGAGATCCTCCATCTACCCCTGCTGAGATCCTCCATTTACTCCAGCTGAGATCCTCCATCTACCCCTGCTGAGATCCTCCATCTACCCCTGCTGAGATCCTCCATCTACCCCTGCTGAGATCCTCCATCTACCCCTGCTGAGATCTTCCATCTGCCCCCCTAAGATCCTTTTCAATATGTTTTCAATCTATTTTTCAAACTTTATTTTTTTGTGGTTGCTTCAGGGGGTGTGGATTGGGGGTATGTGTTTTTTTGTTTTTGGGGGGGATCTTGCACCAGGGCCCTTTGTTCCTTAGCTCCGTCACTGCTCTGTGTGTGTGTGTGTGTGTGTGTGCGCGTGTGTGTGCTCTGTGTGTGTGTTTGCTCTCTGTGTGTCCCGAGGCATCATTTTCACTGGAGTGGACCTTTAAATCTCTGAAATGATTCGTACTTACTGACACCACTTAACTATAAACCAGCTTGACCTGCGCCAATTATTTTTTTGCCCTGAATAATTCCCTAAACACACAATTTACAACCTGCAACCTTTGTGTCCTCTGCAATCTGGAACATTCACTTTCCGAAACTCTTTAAAATGACAAAGAGGAGCACAGATTGGCCGTGTCTGTATATATTTCCCCCAATATTGTAATTACAAATAAATAAATGCATTAGTGCGATGTTGTTGACTTTAAGGCCTTTGCAAATGACAAGGGGGGACTTTTTTACTTGTGGAGGGAAAGAGGTCCAACTTCCACATAGGGAAAGACTTCTTTACATTAAGGGCCATTATACACCATCCATTGCGTTCATGTCACAACTTCGTGACATGAACGCACTGGATCGCATAATCAAAGCCTCTCCGCGTTCTGGGGCAGGAGGGAGTGTGGTGCTGCCATTAATTTCATTGGCACCACTGTCACGCCTCCTGCCCTCAATGTGATCGCCCGGACCAGAACACGTGGTACAGCAATGTCTTGCGTTCCATTACGGCGCGATTGCAATAAATTGTGCATGCACTATTGCTGTGCCGTGCTTTCCAGTGCAGGCGATCACACTGCAGGTGGGAGGAGCATCTGCGGTTCCATTAAAATTAATGGCACAGCCACGCCCCCTCCCGCTCTAGAGCGCGGGGAGGCTTTGGTTATGCAATCCAGTCACGGAACTGTGATATGAACGCACTGGATGGTGTGAATGGGCCCTAAGAGCTGTGGAAATGCAGAACAGACCTCCACAAGACCCAACTCTGTGGATTGCTTTAAGACAAATTCAGATGTGGGTTTAAGTTCACAAAATATAACTGGCTATTAATGTTATTACACCGCAAATTGTTGATTCATTGAATATCCCTTATGGAGTGAGGAAAATTTGTTTCCCCTTTCGGAGTGAATTGGGCCTTCTTTATTGGAGTTTTTTTGCCTTGCTCTGGATTAACTTCAGGTTTGGTGGAACTCAATGGACACGTTTCTATTTTCTACCTTATAGCCAATCTATCATACATAATCCCTCTCTTCCTCTTTCCTCTCCTCTCCTCTTGTCTTCTCTTCTCTGTCATATCTTCTTCTTCCTCCTTCCTTCTTCCTCCTTCCTTTTTCTTTCTCCTTCTTCTACTTCCGCCTTCTTCCTTCTACTTCCTCCTTCTTCTTTCTCCTTCTTCTGCTTTGTTCTTCCTTCTTTTTCCTCCTTCTTCTTTGTTCTTCCTTCTTTTTCCTCCTTCTTCTTTGTTCTTCCTTCTTTTTCCTCCTTCTTCTTTGTTCTTCCTTCTTTTTCCTCCTTCTTCTTTGTTCTTCCTTCTTTTTCCTCCTTCTTCTTTGTTCTTCCTTCTTTTTCCTCCTTCTTCTTTGTTCTTCCTCCTCCTTCCTCCTTCTTCTTCATTCTTCCTCCTTTTCCTCCTCCTTCCTCCCTCTCAATTTTCTCTCTCTCTCTCTCTCTCTCTCTCTCTCTCTCTCTCTCTCTCTCTCTTTCCCCCTCTCTTGTTCTTCCTCTGATTCTCTTTCTCTATCATTTTCTTTTATTTCTGGTCCTCTTTACCACTACCTCTACCTTTTTTTTGCCTCTTTCATTCTCTCTTCTCTTCTCATCTTCTCTCTATCCCTCTCCCTTTCTCTGTGCCTCTTTCTCTTTTTCCTTTCTCTCTCCCTTCCTATTCCCTGTTGCTCTGTCCATCCACACTCTTATCATTACACACAGGTGATTGGTTTGCACCAAGTGGTACATCAGCAGAGAATTCTGTTTTAAGGTCCATGAACATTTCAAATAACGGTATTGTGATGAAATAAATAAGCCGTGCATGTATTTTGTTGGGCCGCCAGCAGAGGGCAATGTTGCGACGTACAAAGGCAATCCTTTTTGGAACACTTATTTAAGCTGTGCATATTTCTTCTGTGGTTATGAAGGCATTTCACACTGATACATTGCATTCTGGGCCCTAATTTCAAGTCTTAACTACCAGCTGTGGTGTTTTTATCTTGTATCGATGGAAGATTAATGTGACAAGAAAAAAATGTTTTTCTCCTCTTTCAACAGCTCCCCTGGAGCACATCCATCTCCTGCTGCCCTTCGTCACCACGAAGAACAAAGAGGTGAACGCGTCCGTGGTGTTGTGGCCGAGCAACGTGGGGACCCTGACCTACGTTTGGTGGCTGGGGAACAATAGTGAGGTGCATTCAACTTGACAGAGTACAAACCGTACCTCAAAACACGCATTCTTATTACACCTCAGATTCATGGAGCTTTACACGGGGATAAGGATCTTTATTTTCAGCCATGTAACTGTCATCTAAAAGGCATATTCATACCTGGGAACTTGTAGAAGGTGCTGAGCCGGAGATTAGCAGAAGGGGGAATGAAGTCCACCAATGTGGCCATATACCTAAGGATAGTGCTCAGAGAAGGTTCTCACTCTTACTGAAGGTTATAGTCATTCTGCTCCACACCACCCCTGCTGCCTAGTGTAGCTTAGTGACACATTTTGTTTATATTTAAATCTCCCTCATGGCCCTGAAGGAGTCATTTCCTACGCTGCGGTGCAGACGCCTGACTGAAGGCCAAGGTCATTCTGCACCCGCGCATCCTGGGAACACAATGCAACACTTTGCTTAAGTTTACAATGCCGCTGGAAAGCTGGAGAACTGAGTCAGGCCAGTAGCGAGCCAGTAATGGAAGTGTTGCTGGGTCAGATCCGGCAAGTTCCCAGGTATGGGGAGATTAGCAGGGTAACTAACTGAACCCAGAGGGGTGGGTCCACCACTGTAGCCGTTTACCTAAAGGAAGCGATCAAGGAAGGTTGTCACTGTTACTATAGCTCAAGCGCTACTATAGCAAGCGCTGCTGCTTAGTGAATGGCTTATTAAAGGCCAGGGGAAGATGTAAATGTAAACAAAGTGTTGCAAAGCAATATTAGTCAGCAGCACTGCCGGCACCGAATGCAACACTTTGTTTATGTTTACATTGCCACTGGAAAGCTGGAGTCGGACCAGTAATGAGCTGGTAATGAAAGTGAAAGGCCGCCATTTATGGGCCAGATTCAGCAGTTCCCAGGTATGGGGAGATTAGCAGGGTAACTAACTGAACCCAGAGGGGTGGGTCCACCACTGTGCCCATTTAGCTAAAGGAAGTGGTCAGGGAAGGTTGTCACTGTTACTGAAGATCGAGGTCATTCTGCACCTGCGCAAACACTGGTGCTTAGTGAATGGCTTATCAAAGGCCAGGGGGAAATGTAAATGTAAACAAAGTGTTGCAAAGCAATACTAGGCAGAGGCGCCGCTGGCACCGAATGCAACACTTGGTTAATGTTTACATCAGTACTGGAGAGCTGGAGAACTGAGCCAGGCTTGTAATGAGCCAGCAATAAAATCTAACAGCCAGCATTGCCTGGGTCAGATCCAATAAATTCCCAGGTGTGGGGAGATTATTAGGGAAATTGATTGGAGATCAGTGGAGAGGGGAGGTGCACCACTGTGGCCATTTACCTTAAGGTCGCGGTCAAGAAAGGTTGTCCCTGTTACTGAAGATCAAGGTCATTCTGTACCTGTGCAAACACCGCTGCCTAGTGAATGGCTCATTGAGGGCCAGGGGAAGATGTAAATGTTAACAATGTGTCACTAAGCAACACTAGGCAGTGGCACCGCCGGAAAAGAATGCAACACTTTGTTTATGTTTACATGGCCACTGGAAAGCTGAAGTCAGGCTGGTAAGAAGCCAGTAATGGAAGTGAAAGGCCGGCATTTCTGGTCCAGATCTGGTGGGTTCCCAGGTATGGCTGTAGTGGGCTAACTGCAATTAAAAGGATCTTTATACCTGGTGTATATTTATAGAAGGTTCATTGAGAAATTTGCCTGTTGGAAAAAAAAGAAAACATTAATTAATTCACCCAATCGTGATTCAGTGGGATTCACTCAGCATTTTCTTGCTGGATTCGGTCTGTGTATTGCAAGGCATGCACTGGGGGGAATCTTGTTAAAACTAATCTTTGCACATCTTTGTCCGGCAGTGAATCCTGAGAGTACAGTAGTGGCTCTTTGGGCAGATCTTTTGGTGAGTTGCCATAAGAACAGGAATAAAAGGGAACTCTTCAAATGGAGATACCTGTTCTGGTGACAACTGGCTATGAGGGCTTTTGTGAGATCCACTTTTACTTCCTGTTGTGTTTCTATAACATGACACTTGCCATGTGGGAGAGCACATAACTGTTTCTTAATAAACCTGTTATCCTTTCTCCAGCAAACAGAGCAGCAAGGTGGGCCGGGGTGTTCTAAATGGTTCTACTTTAGCCAGATGCACTGAATATGCATGAGTAGAGGGCTACCATTGCCTTGGGGTGGGGTGGAGAACGGGCAGGACCAGGTTTCAGTCATGATAGAACCCTGAACTAGGAACGTGCTGCTACTCTGTGGCCTTCCCTACCACTCTACAGCCCATGAAGACATCTGAAAGACATGCACTCTTGGACAATACTGCCCTAATGTACGGGTGACACGTGGGCCTTAGGGTTCATGTAATACAACAATGTGTGGCTCAGAGGATTCTGGGAGAGCTCTTATTTGTTTCTTAATGAACCGCTTATCCTTTCTCCAGCAAACAGTGGATTGTGCCAACAGAAAAAAGGCTGCAACATCAATTATTTCTCACAGCTACAATGTTTTTATAGAAGATAACAGGCTGAATCCCAGGGCTCTCAGACTTCGCTCTTCAGATGACGGCTAGACCTATATGATACATCCTTTTAATTCCAAAGTGTAAATGAGTGGATTTGCTTCCATATAGGTTAGCATAGCCCTTGTCTTCCATTTTTTTAAATTTCTCTTTCCCCTTTCTTAATCTGCAGCCAATCATTACCCTGGACAGAACTATCTCCTTCACGTTCGTGGCAGAGGGCATGAACAGCATCACGGTCCAGGTGTCTGCAGGCAACGCCATCCTACAGGACACGAAGACCATCGCTGTCTATGGTGAGTGGGACACTTCGCACATCCGACTGACACAAAATTACATCCTAAAGAGCATAGCTGTGATGGGGCCACTGCTCCAGCAGGTATCTCTACCACCACCACGGTTGGTTTTGTCTTTAAAGTGGACTTATCATCAGATATAGTGGTCCATGTTGAATGCAGCATGCCGAGTAATGTGTCATTGAACAACACTTCCAGGTATTTATTACCGCTCACAAAAATCACAGTACTTCCCGTGACAATGCCTTCAATGTGCTTCTCTATACAACGCAGGCAAATTATGGCTGGTGGGAGGGGCCGGCAAGGTGCTGTAGGTAGCTTTCTGATGACATCACAGCCCCCTGCCTTTACAGAGAACTACGAGGTGAGTGATTTCCACTCATCCTCTTATTTAGAGCCGACCTGTGACAAAAAGAAGCTGTCACGGGTTGGCTGTATAGATCGGGAAGTGAGCAGAAACATGCCGCTGATGCGCACACTTCCTAATCATCTCCCTGCAGTGAGCGGTGACTGTCAGTCACCGCTCCCCGCAGGGATTCCCCCCTCTCCGATCCTCTAGCTCCCCGATCATTAAGAGCTCTTAACAACCTGTGATGCTCTGACCGGCATCCTGCCCAGTGTCACTGGTTGCCATGAGCTGGGTGGGACACTAGCCAGAGCGTTACAGGTTGCTAAGAGTTCTAAGATGCCCACCCTTCCCATAACGTGCACCACTAGCAACCCCTTCCCTGCACCATTAGCACACCGACTCCCCCATTGTAACATGTATCAGCAGCACCCCAACTCCCCAGCCTCTCCCACCCTGGCCTCAGGTGGTGAAAGTCTAGGGACACCCTTGGCTCCGTACACCCTTCCTGACCAGGTCCAACCCCCCCACTGTGGAGAATAATTCCAATGTCCAGCTATGCTCCCAACTTCTCCATCCCGCTCCCCAGTCTCTTCTTTCCTCCCCCTGCCTGCTCCTGGTATCCCAAAATGCCACCTCTCCTGCCCCAACCAATCACAATGCTTCTTCATCCCTCCACCGATCAGCCGCAACTTTATCACTTACAAGTACTGCCTACCTCCCTCTCCCCACCTCCCCTACTGGGCCCTGACCCCCAGGCAATATGGCCCGGTATGAGTACTGCCTGCCCCCTCCCCTCCTTTATTTATTGACATCCCTGGTGGTTCTAACCCTTCCCCGGTCCGTTCTAGCTGGAGTTCCGCCTTGACGCACATGTAAACACAAACAGCGCTCCCTCTTATTCATGACTGGCATCCCGAGCCTTTCAGTGCAATGAACAATTTTCACCGCGGGGCGATTTAAAAATATATATTTTCTCATCTGAAATGCGTGCCTCGTTAGTAAACCTCCGGGTGGATATCTTAAGCAGAGAGATTTGTTTAATGCAACTTTCCACGCCGCGTAATACCTACAATTCAGTCCGCGCGCGCGCACCTAATTGGATAATTACTAACTTGCGCTGCGGCGTGCTGCCGATTATAATGGCTGCTTGACATGTTTTGCCTAATGCTGTTTTTTTTTTATTATTATTTACGGCTGAAAAGATGATGTAAATCATTTATTTGCATGTTGGCTTATGATCTCATTTGTTGGGGAGTGGGGGGAGTGGGGGGGGAGATTAAATACATAATTTAGAGTTTTAATAACAATATAATAGCTTATAACATCTACTTTAAAAGTATAATTCTACGTATTATTGTTGAATAATGTATGTTATGAGGCCTAAACCCACAGCGTGCCATCACTTGGAACTCTCCGGATCTGGGATTTCATAGCTGAAGTGTGAACTAGCCGGAGCCGGTATGTTGGGATTATATGTAGGAGATACAGTACATACATAGGAGGCGCTGGATCTTTAGGAGCTCATGCACATGGGTGCCCGCACCAGTATAATGTAAATTCGGCTGTATTTTACCCCCAACAAGGGAGCCACAGCTGCCGCGTACAGCCTTCCCTAGAAGTCAATGGATGTACGTGGCATTGGGCAGGTGTTCGCTGGTACTTCCGAACACCCATGCACAGGACCATCCCTATAATGAGTCAGACCGGGGGGGTCTGCCTTAGATGGCATCTCTTTGGGTCACGTGGGCCAGAGTGTTCCAGGTTGTTGAGCGCTCTTAGCAACCTGGGACGCTTTGACCAGCATTCCACCCAGCTTACTGACGTCACTTGTTGTCAGGAGCTGGGTGCGACCACCTGCCAAGCTCCTGGCAACTAGTGACATCAGTGAGCTGGGTGGGACGCCGGAGAGAAGTAATGCCACCCCCTTTGGAGGCAGAGCATCCCAGCTTGCTGAAAGCTAACATCCCATGATGCTCTGGCTGGTGTCCGACCCAGCTCACTGACATCACAGCTTGCCAGGAGCTGTGTGGGACCTCTGGCCGGTGTTCCGCCAAGCTCCTGGCAACCAGTGACATTTGCCCCCTTGCTGACCAGAGCACCTCAGGTTACTAGATGCTCTTAGCAATTTAAGACTCTCTGGCCAGAGTCGCAGCTCTGTAATGTCACTGGTTGCTAGGAGCTGAGAGGGATGTTCTGGCCGGCGTTCCGCCGAACTCCTGGCAATCAGTGGTTTCAGTGAACTGGGCAGGACGCCGGAGAGAGGTAACCAACACCCCCCACCAAACCAAAATCCCATACAGGCACCCACCACCCCCTCCCCACAGTGCACCACCAGCAACCTCCCCCTGCCCCCCTCAGGTGAAGAAAACTCTAGGGACACCCCTGCCAGTGCATGCACACGGATGTATGACCTTGGATGCAGGCAGTCTACATCCAGACTTGTACATCAATGCGCATGTGCAGGTTTACGGAAGTAGTGGTATATACGTGCCTGCAGCCACACACATCCAATGACTTATATGGGGGCTGTACATGGCACCTGTGGCTCCCTGGCAGGGGAAAATATGCCCAAATTCATGACGCAAAGGTGCAGCACCCATGTGCATGAGCCCTTATTGTTAGTATCCAGTATTGGGAACGGCCATCTCATTGACTAAGTGGATTCTCTTCAGTAAGGCTGCCCTTCCATATTACAAGACCCCCAAAATGAAGGGGGGTCCTAAGAAAGATCCCAACATGTGAGAAGCAGTGAAGGCCCTACAGCAATGGTCCATGCTAGAGAGGCCATCCTTTAAACTTGCTGGTGTTCACTATTCAATTCTTTGTATACAAGCATGACTCTATTGAGGCCAGTCATTTTTTAGGTCAAACAACATAATATACAGTATAAGCCCTGATGAATGGGGAGTGTTGAAACCACCAAAATGCGTTATCTTGTCTCAATTATTATTTGATAAAAAGACTTTGTGATCATTGGTAGTGATGAGCCAAACATGCCTGGGTTTGCCTCACTTTGGAACCCTGCAAGAAATCCGGGTTTAGTGACTATCCAAGAGAACTTAAAGGAGAACTATGGGGTCCAGGCTTTTCCCCTTAGTTCTCCTTAGGGTAACGGGAGGACACAAACTAGCGTCCTCCCGTCACCCTAGGCTCAGTATACCACGGGCTGTAGCTCGCGTTATACTGAGAACCTGCAGCTGAAGCGGATCCCGACAATTATGCCGGGATCCGCCCAGCTGCGTGACTGACAGCTGGCTCTGCCTATCTAGAGGCAGAGCCAGATGTACCCGCCCCCTCCCCGTCCGTTCCGCCAGTCGGGGCGGGCGGATCGGAGCGGGGAGGGGGGAATCCAGCCCCTCCCCTGTCACGGCAGAGAGCCGTGACAGGATCGAGAGGGGAGCGAACGCCGGTATGTGTTCGCTCACCTCCCGATCTACTGAGCCGACCTGTGACAGTCTCATTGTCACAGGTCGGCTAGAACTATGAGGTGAGTGAAAAGCACTCACCTCATAGCTCTCCTTTAACTCAGGGCCGCCTGTGTTCTAGGCACCAATGATACTATGAGATGCGCACATCATCATTGGTTGCTAAGATGCTGGTGGCTAGGCTGCATTGCGCCATTGGTTACTAGGACACAGGCCGGTGCACTATAACGACCAGTGACACTGTGGGGGCCCTCTGTGTCCTAGCAACCAGTGACACAGTGTGGCCCGCATGGCCCCATTTGTTGCTGAGACACTGAAATCAGGTGTGCACTGAAATTTGTAATCTTCCAAACAGCAGAGGTGGCCTGGTGGAAGGAGAGCTCTCACTGTGGTCTTTATCAGTGCCATTAGGTGGTTTCCCTATTAATCCAGCAGGTGGCGCACCATCATGGCGGTTACAGAGCTGCAGGTGTCGAAATGTGTTGTCACCCTCCGCACAGCATAGCCGGGTGTATGGAATACCAAAGTCTGTGCATTGCTTTAGAAAAATCCATTGGAGACACCCAATGTGTCTATAGTGTGTGATTTGATGCTGCCCTTTATTATGTGTCTCAGCTTCATGTTGAATAGATAAAGTGAAGTTTGGTGGAGCTCTCTGTATGGTTGTTTCTTTCCATGTTCTAAAAGACCCTGACAGTGTGCTCTGACTCCTTCATTCCAGAACAGTTCCAGTCTCTGCGGCTGTCCTTCTCTCCCAACCTGGACGATTACAACCCTGACATCCCGGAATGGAGGCAAGACATCAGCCGCGTCATTAAGAGAGCCCTCATGTATGTAAGTGTCAAAGGAAGGTCTTCATATTGTGTGCTGTACAGCCCATTGAGTCAAGAAGGGGGGTGGGGGATCAGAAGAGTATGTGCAGAGGGTCAGGGGGATCACATGAGTATGTGCAGAGGGTCAGGGGGATCAGAAGAGTATGTGCAGAGGGTCAGGGGGATCAGGGGATCAGAAGAGTAAGTGCAGAGGGTCAGGGGAATCACATGAGTATGTGCAGAGGGTAAGGGGGGATCACATGAGTATGTGCAGAGGGTCAGGGGGATCAGAAGAGTATGTGCAGAGGGTCAGGGGGATCAGAAGAGTATGTGCAGAGGGTCAGGGGGATCAGAAGAGTATGCACATTGCTTTATACATTGTTAGGCAGTCAATAGAAGCTCCATACTTCTTCTGTGATATCAGTATCAGGCTGGAGTCATATTGGAATATATATAATGGGAGATGTTACATTTATGATCAGTCCTCTGTGATTTGAAGACTTGGCGACTCTCATTCTTCAAACATGACTGCTAAGGCGTGCTAAACTGACTGATAATAATAACTTAAAGGAGTTGTAAAGTCCCAGCAGATCCTCGCCTGTCATAACATCAGCATTGTAATAGGAATACATAGTAGAGTTGTCTCTGATAATACAATGAAAGCTTACTAGAAAAAATCCCTTTTATGTAGTGAGCGTTGCCTTCCACCTGCCCATCACTCCCAACAACTTCCTGGATTCCCAATGTGCTTTGCGTCTCTTCACCTGCTGCTTGATGTGACACAATCCCCATTTTCCAAGACTACATACCCCATCGTGCATACCCATCATGCACCACCAGGATGTGCTCAGCCTTACAGGTTGAATGATGCTGCATGACAGTCAACCCAGAAGACTGAGGGCATCCTGTGAGTGCAGGGTGTTCATGAACCCGCCCCTGAGGGGATCCATGACGGTGCCCTGCAGTCACAGATGCAAAGAGTGGTGCTGACGTAGATCACATCTGTGACGCTTTATGCAATATGGGGAACAGACCACCATCAGAGAAGATCCACAGAGGTCCTGTATCATGAGCGCAACCTTAAGATATCTATAAAAGGTAGG